TGTTCCGTTGGTTCTATACCGTTAGTGGGTTGGTCCGCTACCGTTATTGGCTTGGTTCTGTACCGTTATTGGGTTGGTTCTGTACCGTTATTGGCTTGGTTCTCTACCGTTATTGTGTTGGTTCTCTACCGTTATTGTGTTGGTCCGCTACCGTTATTGTGTTGGTTCTCTACCGTTATTGTGTTGGTTCTCTACCGTTTCTATACCGTTATTGGGTTCTGTACCTTTGTGGTGCTCAATTCTCATTCTTTGCTTCCTTGTTCCACAGATTTTTATCATTGTATTGTTTTGAGAATGGTTCTAAATCTTAAAATTTCTATTGTTCTATTTTTACGGATGTAGCGGTTTCGTTATGTAAGAATGTTCTGATATAATACTCATTTGTCGATGTTATAATCTGCAAATAAATATCTTAAGATTATTATTTGCCATCTATAAAGGATATAGGACAGACTAAGAACTGGGATATGAGATAGATTCAGACCTGGTATGAATGGAATGGAACTATCAGGGGGAAGCGCCAAGCCATTACGACTATATAGCACTGGGAAGGGGTCACGATAAGGATTAGGGATGGGACGGGGGGAAAGGAATGGTGCCCCAACCACTTTGGGACAGTCGGGGATTGAACGCCGACCTGCATGAAGCGAGACCGTCGCTCTGCCGTACCGTATGAGACACTGTATAGCACTTAGAAGGGATATAAGACAGACTAAGTGCTGGGTTAAGAGACTAAGTGCTGGGTTAAGAGAAAAGGAACAGTGCAAAATCAATTGGATTTTGAGGGTTTGAGCTGTAATCTTGCAAGAAACTTAAGCAAAGCTTTGCCGACAAGCTTAAGTGGTTGGGCTTGCAGGTGAAGAAGCACACACCGCGTCAAGACTTGTCGTAAGTGTCTTAAAGTCTGAAGTGTCAGACTTGGAAAAACTTGGCCGGTCCAGATTACAAAAAGGCTTTTCCTGGTACAGCGTTCCTCTCCACACCGGTACGGGCTGCTAGTGTACCGGTGATGGACCGGTACTGTGATGGACCGTTGATGATGGACCGTTGTTGATGGACCGTTGTTGCGCGTCTGACAACAGGCTGTTACAACTCTGTTTTGCAACTGTTTTTTTCAATCGTGGCTTAAACCGGGGAAGGGAATTATCAAGGGGAAAGCGCCAAGCCATCACGACTATATATAACTCAGACTGTGTGTGTGTGTGTGTGTGTGTGCGTGTGTGTGTGTGTGTGTGTGTGTGTGTGTGTGTGTGTGTGTGTGTGTGTGTGTGTGTGTGTGTGTGTGTGTGTGTGTGTGTGTGTGTGTGTGTGTGTGTGTGTGTGTGTGTGTGTGTGTGTGTGTGTGTGTGTGTGTGTGTGTGTGTGTGTGTGTGTGTGTGTGTGTGTGTGTGTGTGTGTGTGCGTGTGTGTGTGTGTGTGTGTGTGTGTGTGTGTGTGTGTGTGTGTGTGTGTGTGTGTGTGTGTGTGTGTGTGTGTGTGTGTGTGTGTGTGTGTGTGTGTGTGTGTGTGTGTGTGTGTGTGTGTGCGGGGTGAGGGAGGGCGAGTGATAGGTGTGTGAAAGAGAGAAAGAAAATGAGTAAAGACAGACAAAGCTAAAATGGAATAGCTTCGTTATAACCCCAGCAACCGGAAAGCGGGACCCGGGAGCCGGCGCCTGACCCTTCCAAGCGCATGTAGGTAATCTTATCTCCGACTCAAGCCGGAATTTCCGCGCGATTTCCCGGGTTTATGAGCAAGCTGGAACGCTGTTCTTCCCTGTGGCGGAAATTATGACTTTAGTTCGAATCCCTGAGAAATAAACGCATCAGTATACGTCATGGTAACGCATAATCCAAACTATCCTAATCCCATTTAAGCTATTCTGTAGTATGCTATCCTCTTCTAATCTAACTTGCGATAACCTAACCTATCATATCTTCTGATCTAACTTATACTAACCTAACCTATCATATCTTCTGATCTAACTTATACTAACCTAACCTATCATATCTTCTGATCTAACTTATACTAACCTAATCTATGCTATTCTCTTCTAATCTAACTTGCGATAACCTAATCTATGCTATCCTTTTCTAATCTAACTTGTGATACCTTAATCTATGCTATCCTCTTCTAATCTAACTTGTGATAACCTAATCTATGCTATCCTCTTCTAATCTAACTTGTGATAACCTAATCTATGCTATCCTCTTCTAATCTAACTTGTGATAACCTAATCTATGCTATCCTCTTCTAATCTAACTTGTGATAACCTAATCTATGCTATCCTCTTCTAATCTAACTTGTGATAACCTAATCTATGCTATCCTCTTCTAATCTAACTTGTGATAACCTAATCTATGCTATCCTCTTCTAATCTAACTTGTGATAACCTAATCTATGCTATCCTCTTCTAATCTAACTTGTGATAACCTAATCTATGCTATCCTCTTCTAATCTAAATTGAGATAACCTAATCTATGCTATCCTCTTCTAATCTAACTTGTGATAACCTAATCTATGCTATCCTCTTCTAATCTAACTTGTGATACCTTAATCTATGCTATCCTCTTCTAATCTAACTTGTGATAACCTAATCTATGCTATCCTCTTCTAATCTAACTTATACTAACCTTACCCTATCTTGAGTTATCTTGAGATGATTTCGGGGCTTAGTGTCCCCGCGGCCCGGTCCTCGACAAGGCCTCCACCCCCAGGAAGCAGCCCGTGATAGCTGACTAACACCCAGGTACCTATTTACTGCTAGGTAACAGGGGAATCAAGGTGAAAGAAACTCTGCCCATTGTTTCTCGCCGGCGCCCGGGATCGAACCCGGGACCACAGGATCACAAGTCCAGCGTGCTCCCTCCCTCCCTGTGTGTGTGTGTGTGTGTGTGTGTGTGTGTGTGTGTGTGTGTGTGTGTGTGTGTGTGTGTCCAAACAGAGATTAGGAGAAGAATCAAATAACATGTTTAAAAACGCAATCATAAAATCTAATTAATTCCTTAGCGTGAGTAGAACGTATGAGCTAGAATATAATTAAATTAATTATATTATTTAAAACGCATTAAGCGCCTTTTTAAATTATATTATATTAACCTTAAATTCACCATGGGCCATCCTCGAGTCTGGTCAGTGACGTCATCAGTATATACAACCGTCCAATTCACAAAATCTTTCAACCAAATTCAAATTTGAATATGTCGTTTGAAAAATGTGTTAATTTTTACATTATCATTAATTGTTAATTCAGGTACAGTTAAGTAGAAGCGAAAGAATAATACTAGAGGGAATTATTAAGTGGTGATTGCTGGCAACTCTCCCGCATGCGCGCCACTAGCCTCCAGCGGGAAAAGTGTCAACTATCGCGACGTCATCTACGCATGCGCGTCAAAACATGATAACAGGTTAGTACCTGTTACCTGGCAGTAAATAGGTACCTGGGAGTTAGTCAGCTGTCACGGGCTGCTTCCTGTGTGTGTGTGTGTGTGTGTGTGTGTGTGTGTGTGTGTGTGTGTGTGTGTGTGTGTGTGTGTGTGTGTGTGGGGTGTGGGAAAAAAATAGTAGTAGTTAGAAACAGTTGATTGACAGTTGAGAGGCGGGCTGAAAGAGTAGAGCTCAACCCCCGCAAGCACAACTAGGTGAACACACCCACACACACACGCACACACGCATACACACACACACACACGCACACATACACACACACACACACACACACACACACACACACACACACACACACACACACACACACACACACACACACACACGCATACACACACACACACACGCATACACACACACACACACACACACCCACACACACACACACACACACACACACACACACACACACACACACACACACACACACACACACACACACACACACACACACACACACACACAGTATTCAATTTGCAACTAGACAACACCTCACCCAAAATAAGACACCATTTGTACTGTCTTAAAACCCTAAAAAACACCCTTGAATTTGTGAAGCACTTCCTTGGAGGTCTTGGAGGGGGGGTTGATGGGGTCGGGGTTTGAGGGGGGGGGGGTAAGTGCAACATCACAATACCATAAACATAATATTAATCTCAGAACCAATACCCATGGTAATGGAAATCCTATTTTACCAAACCCCGCTGGAAAGTAGTCCACTACGGGATCACCTTAGCCCGTGCTGCTTGGAACACTGTAAAGAACAGTGTTGAACAAGCTTGAGAGCTGAACGTGGCTACAGCCATCTTCAACGCTAAACTGAATCCTTCCCTCTAATTGCTTTGCCCCTTACAGGCAGACCAAACTATGGCTGTAACAAGGTACAGGTTATACAGACTCTATGTAACCTTTTGAGTCGTTGGAAATCTTGGGATAGTGAGGAATATGAGTCTTGGAACTTTTTAATACGGCGAAAATCATGCGATAGTGAGGAAAATGAGTTCTAGAACCCCTGGAATCTTTCGATAGTGAGAAAAATGAGTTCTAGACCCCGTGGAATCTTTCGATAGTGAGGAAAATGAGTTCTAAAACCCATCAAATCTTTCGATAGTGAGGAAAATGAGTTCTAAAACCCATCAAATCTTTCGATAGTGAGGAAAATGAGTTCTAGACCCCGTGGAATCTTTCGATAGTGAGGAAAATGAGTTCTAAAACCCATCAAATCTTTGGATAGTGAGGAATATGAGTTCTAAAACCCATCAAATCTTTGGATAGTGAGGAATATGAGTTCTAAAACCCATCAAATCTTTCGATAGTGAGGAATATGAGTTCTAAATCACATGAAATCTTGCGATAGTGAGGTTTGTGCGTCCAGGAATCTTCTGATGCGTCGGGAATCTTGCGATAGTGATGGACACCAGCCGCGCAGTGGCTCAAAAAATATGGTGAGTGAGATAGTGTCGTGTTGAACGGTTGTGTCGCGGTGGAAAATGTGATTTCAAGTGGAACTCGGAGTTTCAAAATGGCGGCGGCGGCGGCGGGTAGGGCAGCGCAGGGAGGAGTGTAATGCGCACATGCGCTCCCGCCCCGCCATGATGGCGCTCTTTGGCATGGTCTGGCTTCTCAAGGTCCGCAAGCACTTGCGCCACTGCGCACACTGCCGGGCGCACCTGCGCACCTGCGCTCAGTGCCGGGCTCGGCCTTCTCCCTCCCTTATTAGCTCGCGGGACTCCACTAAAGAGTCCTGCGCGCAGGACACCGCCTCGCAGACTTCCCCGCCCGAGCAGGAGCGCAGTAGGATCTCTCTGGACCTAGTTGCGCATCCACCGCCTCGGGACGATGATAGTGATGACCCGGATGTGGCTAAGGGCGACGAACGGGGAATCGAACCCCCGGACGATCGCGAGGATGAGAATCAGTACCTCTACCCTAGCCATGCGCCGCCTGCGCCGCGGAGCCCTGGCGCCAGGTCGCCGCGCAGGACTCACGAGGGTATGAACGCGGCACAGGAGCCGTGTGAGAGCGCAGCTGGGTCCTTGGCTAGCCGGGTATGTAGCCTCTACGGGCAGGAATCGGGGATCGAACCGGCTAGCGAGCGCAGGAGATCCTTCAGCGCCGTCAAACGGCGTAGTCTACCGGAGGGGGAGGAGACTCGAACGTCGACCCTGCCGCGGCAGAGCTCCGCGGGGGGCGGCGGCTTCCGTTTCTGCTACACCCCGGGGCACACACACCCCTACGCCTGCCCCCCCCTAGCCGGCTCCACCCCCCACCTCCCCCACGACACCTGGGACACCACCCAGGTGCACACTGCGCACCCCACCCGACACCTGCGGGAGGCGCCGCAGGAGTCCCGCCACCTGCGGGAGGCGCCGCAGGAGTCCCGCCACCTGCGGGAGGCGCCGCAGGAGCCCCGCCACCTGCGGGAAGCGCCGCAGGAGCCCCGCCACCTGCGGGAAGCGCCGCAGGAGCCTCATTACTTGCGGGAAGCGCCGCAGGAGTCCCGCCACCTGCGGGAGGCGCCGCAGGAGCCCCACCACCTGCGGGAAGCGCCGCAGGAGCTCCGCCACCTGCGGGAAGCGCCGCAGGAGCCCCGCCACCTGCGGGAAGCACCGCAGGAGCCTCATTACTTGCGGGAGGCGCCGCAGGAGCCCCGCCACCTGCGGGAGGCGCCGCAGGAACCCCACTACCTGCGGGAGGAGGCCCTGGAGGGGGCGTACGGTGGGTCAGACTCCAGCCGCAGCTCCCGCAGCACCTACAGTGACCGCAGCTTGCCCCCGCCCCTGCCATTCTCGGAGGGGGCTATCCACTACCTCCCCGCCCCTACCCATGCCCCAGTGCCCACCCACGCCCACTACCACCAACTCTACTCACGCCCAGGGCGTGCAGACGGGGGGTACGGGCGGCGGTCTAGCGTGCCCGGGGCGCCGTGCCCGACTACCCAGAGGGAGATCCACTACTGGGATGGAGTATGGTCCATCCCCACTAGCTCCATCACTACCACCTTCCTGGGCGCCGAATACCCCACTTACGACCCAACGACGGTACCCGGGCGCGACCGCCGGCCGCAGTTTGATGCCCATGCCCCAGTACCCAGGGCACGGAGCTCCTCCAGATCCCGCAGCTCCCCTGTGCGGCGAGGCCGCAGCCATTCCCGCAGCCCCAGCAGACATCTAGGGCGGGTGGATCTGCTGGAGGAGTGTGGTGGGGTGGAGGGTGGGGGGGGCAAGGGAGTGCCGCCCCCGCCTCGTGAGTGGGCGGCTCCTGCGGCTTCTAGAACCTCCTACTGCGCCCTCCACGGCTACAACAGACCTCAAGGTAAGTCTTCATCCACTCGTACTCATGAGACCTTATTCATATATGATTATTCAAGATCACATTTAGTACCTTGAGGTTACCTTGAGGTGCTTCCGGGGCTTAGCGTCCCCGCGGCCCGGTCGTCGACCAGGCCTCAGTAGTTGCAGTTGGTATCCACCAGTCTCTGGAGACTGTGGAGTTCCGCTCTAATTGTCGGTCTGGAGTGGCCTCTCCAGGGCGCAAAGCCAGGGTAGGTTGATATGGAGAAGCTGTTACCCAAGCAGCCGGTTTACACTGCGCTGAAAGTCTCCAATTGAAAGGCTAACGCCAATACAGTTGCTTTTAGCGCCGTCTTTGTTATAGCCTCACATTTAATGAGGCTATAACTACACAAGTATTTAACATTAAATGAATACAAATCATTGAAATTACAAAGATTCAACCTATAGCCCCCTGTAATTATCAGCAGGGATACGATATCAAGAATTTTCGAACGATTTGTGTAAACAATTGGTCTGAAACTACAATTATTTTTGCTATAAAGGCTTTGTAATCCCAAGTTTGTATGAGTACTTGGACTGTGAACTGTTACCTAGTAACTCCTTGTCACTATTTCTCACAGTAAATCAGTCCTGCTGATTATGATCTATATGAACCAATCATAATCCGGTTCATGTGGATTATGAAATTCTCAGCCAGGATTTCTTAAGATTTCGTAAATTTAGAAGATATATTGTAAAATATATTATATAATAGGTACTGTAATATTATATATATAGGTAATATATTGTAAAATATTGTATTATTTTACAGTGGCTTCTAATTAAACCTCTAAAACAACTTATGTATTTAAATACATGTGGCCACGTCTGTGGTAGAAAATAATAATAATAACAAAAATTAAATACACAATATTAAAACAAAGATAAAGTTTCAGAATCAAATTATTTTTTATTGTAATTTTTACAATTAGTTATACAGGAGAAAATAAAAAAATATAAGTAATATATAAGGAGATATAAAAAAAAATTATTTGTTAGAAAAACTTAAACGAATTACTAAAAAAAATTAAGTTTAGCTAACTTGGACGACCCACTCAAGGCTGTATATAAGAACTCTGGAAACCCTATCCAGGTATGTTCCAGGCATCAAGGCACAGTCACACCACCATAGACCATTGTAATACAATATAATACAAGACTATACAATATATACAAGGCTATACAATATAAACCAATCCAGTTCACTTACAGAGTGGCAGAAACGACAGCGATTGAATTCAAATTAGAATAATTAAGTTATCTTCTAAAATAACAATTTCAGGATAGCACAAGTCTGATGAAAATACGAGAGCCTCATTAGGCTATCATTATTTTAAATTGGAACATGGGCCTTACACCGATGGCTTCACCCTGTCCTCTACAATAATATATATATTGCATTTTGACATCAAAATCCCTCCCCTTCCCTAACGGAAAAATATGATGTATTATAAATCATTGTGGTACATAAATATTCACGTTTTCTATGCGTTTTTCCATTGGTTAGGTTAGGGTAGTTTAGAACGCTGTTTTCTGGCCGTTGTCGCAATTCGAGAGAACAGACTGAAATATATATACTAGCATATATATATAACTATATGCGAACAAGCCTGAATGGTCCCCAGGACTATATGTAACTAAGATATATAACTATATCTCAGTATATTTATATATACTAACATATATATATATATATAAATATATCTTAGTATGTTATATATACTAACATATATAAAGGGGGGGTACCACCTCTGGTGCAATTATAGAGACCCACAGCCTCAGAGAAGGGAACACAGAGCATTCAGGGAAAAACTTACCATTTAACTCTGAATACGTAAGATATATTTATATACTAACATATATAAATATGTCTTAGTATATTATATATACAAGCATATATAAATATGAATTTTTCACTATCTTGAATAATAATGGTAACAGCTTTTCATTCAACTCGTAGGAAATTATACATACATAGAAATCAATGATACCAAAGTACTCATATATAAAATACATAACTTATTGAGGCAAAAATATTCCAATCTGGCTTTGTTCTTCTCTCTTACCCGGATATAATGAAGGAGTTTGATTATACAAAAAAATTATACGAGATTGCACAGAAATAATCCATAGACAATATTTTGCAAAAAATGATAAGAGATTGACATCAGCCTAACAGTAGAAATGTGTAGCTTAGCGCGAATTATTATTTTGATATAATAATACATTTATCACTTGGGCTCATAATTTATAGTACAGTCTAAAGCACATTGAGGCTAATATATATATGTACAATGAGTACAGCTCTGATAAGCTCTTTCATGTGTCTAGTAATATTTACCTGAGTTCATTTCATTGCTATCACGCATATGATAACATATTCATATCTATGTTATCATAGTTCCTGCTTTAGCTGCATGGTTAGTGATATGGAGGAAGGTCCTGTACCTGCCTTACTGGATAGATAGACCGTAAGTCAATTTGTTGTAGAGAAATGACAAGAAATTGGGTTAACTTGAATATATAAACTTCAGAGAATACGAATTAAGGAACTGCAGAAAAGCCTATCGGCCTATGCTAGGCATCTCCAACTTGTTCCTGTCCAGACTTTCTCATATTTTTCAAATATAGAACAATATTGAGACAATTGAGGCTAGATTGAGACAATCTAGCAAGCAGTTCCACGTTCACGGTGATTTGTTTTATAAATCAACACTATTTCAAAAAGAATATTTACCTAAATCTGTTCTGACTATAAAATGATCCAATTTGTATCCATCATTTTCCATTGCTATATTTATCTTATCGAAAACAAATCTGTGAGTTTTCGTGTATTAAGAAATTGTCAGTGACTACATTATTGACGTATAATACAAGTGTGTGTATATATGTAAAGAAACAACACGTGAGTAGATAAAGAAACATTTTCTTTCCGGTCTATTTTGTCCAAACACTTGGGTTGGACGGTAGAGTGACGGTCTCGCGTCATGCAGGTCTGCGTTCAATCCCCCCCCCTCCCCGTCCCATCCCAAATCTTTATCCTGACCCCTTCCATGTGCTATATAGTCGTAATGGCTTGGCCCTTTCCCCCTCTGATAGTTCTCTTCCCTTCTACGGCGAAGGCTTGTTTCTGTTCGGTTCATCCATCAAGATTTAAAATTTAAAATTGACCTCGTGAGTCAGCGAGGTATAGGAATTAATCGGCTCTCCAGTGTAATCCCAAAGGGTGATTAGACACTGTAAATCCTCTGTTCCAACCCAAACAGTTACAAGAATAGAGGATTTCAGGGTACACCTGATTGATTAAATTCTTTGAAGTATGCAGACGAGGAGTCACAATAACGTGGCTGAAGTATGTTGACCAGACCACACACTAGAAAGTGAATTGAAATTGAAATAAGTTTATTGAGGTAAAATATACACAAAGGGATGAGGTAGCTCAAGCTATTCTCACCCCGTTCTACAAACAATAAACATATTACCAAACATTCTGAGAGATAAACATCTACATTTCCTAAGAAAGTGAAGGGACGACGACGTTTCGGTCCGTCCTGGACCATTCTCAAGTTGATTGTCATTCTCACAATCGACTTGAGAATAGTCCAGGACGGACCGAAACGTCGTCGTCGTCCCTTCACTTTCTAGTGTGTGGTCTAGTCAATTCATTGAAGTACCTTTGGTCTTGAAGTAAGACAGACAACTATTGTCATTCTTGGGACCCCTCACACGAGGCTATGAACTCTGTCTGGTCAAAATATGGTCTGTTTTACCCACAAAAAAATCCACATTTTGCAGTTGTATTCCTAAAAGGCACGACAATAAAAGTAGATTAGACTAACCATAAACCTAACCTAGGCCTAAATGATCCATCTTAGGCCTTATATGGTGCTGAATAAGTACTCTTAAATGCCTAGAAAAAAAATTCAATCTGGTTGTGCACAAGTCATACATTCTATTATGGAATGTATTAAAGGAATTATATTGTTTGAATAACAGGTTGAGGCATGGATATTTCCTCACTGGAATGTCTTTAGTACTCAATAGTTTCATTCGTGTTGGCTTCCTGTAAACTCGCTTGGGAAAGCTTTAGGCATAACCTCTTAGCGGATCACTGGAAACCTGGTCAGAAGGTGGAGTGTCAGACAAAGAAGCGCCTACTCAAGTTATGGCTCTTAGCAGGAAGATTCTACCAGACGTATAACGCTACCTAAGGCCAATAATCGTCGTACTAGAAAATAGCAGCGGCTGGCGTAAGTAACTTACTGTCCCGTTTTCTGCTTTAGGTCCTCTGGTAGGTTAGGATAAGGGCATTTTAGTACGACTGTTTCTTGACGTTGGGAAAGCCTTCTGAGGACGGGCTGGACAACTACCTCAAGCCTAGTAGCCGAGCCGAATTTAATTTAGATTTGTGAAGTAAATTTGCAAATTTATAGGCTATATTTATAAATGTTTGTACAATTATAGTTGGGTTAGTTTATACAAAGTTACAGTAAACTATTTACCGAAGAGAACGTCATGATAATAATAGTATAACATGTATAAAGTATAATTATATACCGTATAATCTACAATTATATTTAGACGGTAGCCTAATAGCAAAACTGAAATGTTACTGAGTGCTCTCTCTCTCTCTCTCTCTCTCTCTCTCTCTCTCTCTCTCTCTCTCTCTCTCTCTCTCTCTCTCTCTCTCTCTCTCTCTCTCTCTCTCTCTCTCTCTCTCTCACGGTACCAAACATCCCTAAAATTAGCCGTAAAAGGCAGCTAACTGCTGCCCAAATGGGAATTGCCTATCTCCGAGGCTACCATTCAAGCACAGGAGGATTAGCAAGAGGATTATCAACTGTCACATGCACGGTAGAGTGGTATACAGTTTACATGACTCACGGCGTGGTATTCCTAATCCTTCTGTGCTTAGGTGACGTCAGGGTAACTATCTGATGCCCAACTGTTTTTCATTATTTCTTTTTCTCACTGCTCCTA